CATGAAAGCATGCAAATCTGCAGCATCATGGCTCATTCCTTAATCTCCTCCATTATAGATAGCCAATTTCTGATTTGCCCTTTCCTGTCAAACCAGTAGTTTAGAAAAATAAGCATGATATTTTCTCTGAAGAATCTTCTGTTCTAGTTAGTTCTATTAACATCTTCATCCATAAGCAAGTCCAGTCATAAATACACCATCAACTTGCAGCAATCAACACTAGCTTACACTTATCTTTATCTTATTTAAATTGTGAGTTCATCTCCAATCATCAGTGCCTAGATCCAAATGGGCATCTGCTACAATATAAGGAGTCCATGCTTCTTTCTGTGTTCCAGACTCACTTGTCTCTTCACTCAATCTTAGCCCCCATATGGTGTCAAGTTGACAAGTCAATAAGACTTGAGGTCCTCATGACTCCCTGCTCCTCAAGTCAGCAACCCTTTTGCACTTATCCACATACCTGTACATAGTAGGTCAACAGTCCTAGTAGAGCATGCCCAAGCTCAGCCTGTCTTCATTGTTACATGCCTCTAAATGTCAATCTCTTAAATCAAAAGTTCAAGATGAATCACAAATCCATTTAAATGTAAATTTCCTCAGAGTACTGGATGGGCTTAATCTTCCCCAGACTAAATCCCATGTCCTCTAGTTCGACTGCTTCCAATAAGCATTTCCCCAGGACGAATATTCCTCGTTTAGTATATCCATCAGCAACACTATGCTTCACTCAAGTTATTAATATTTTAATTTATTTCATATGCAAGTAAAAGCTGACCGATAAATAAGAAAGACTGAAGAAAAGTTGTCTTTGAATTATGATTTTGGTGAAGAACTTTGAATAATACCCTGGACTTTCAAGAGAACAAACCTAAATATCTTGAACTTTTAGATTGCTCCTTAGAAACAGGGATGGTGACTTTTTAGATCACTTATTTTGGGAATATTATCAATACAGATTAGTCCTTGGGAACAGACATCATGTGCAGTAAAGCAGAGGGTTAGGAGAGTAATTGTAACAATGGACTCAGGCATGGTGTGGATTTAGAGGATGGCACTGAATGAGGCAGTATTATGTTCTGTTGTGCACCTGTGGCTATGTTTTATAACTGATTCAATAGCATATAACAACAATAACTTGTAATGTAACATAGTAACCCCAGGACCAATATGCAACATCATGATACATGGAGAAAAGATTGAAACTTTCAACAACTTTATCTTCTCTGTATCTACAAAAATCACCCTTTGTCCCAGCAGTAGGAGACATATTGCACTGGGAAAATCTGCTGTTAGGGATATCTTCAAATTATTGAAGAGTAATGATGTCACTTTGAGAACTAAGGTGCATCTGATTCAGCCAATGGTCTTTCTGATCACTTGCTATACATCTGAGATAATGGATAAGGATGACAGAGAAATAATTGATGTTCAGCTGTGGTGTTACAGAAGAGTATTGAACATCCCATAGACTGCCAAAAGAATAAAAAAATATGTCTTGCAGAAAGTGTAGCCAGAGTGCTCTTTGGAGGCAAATATGATAAAGCATCACTTCACATACTTTAGGCATGTTGCTAGGAGAGGCTGTTCCTTGGACATGGACATTATGCATAGAAAAAAAGGGTTGGCAATGGAGAGGACAACCCTCAACCAGATGGATTGACACAGTGACTGTCACAATCATCTCTCGTGTGCCAGAAAGTGAGAGGATAGGACAGGATTCAGGATTTTTGTTCATATGGTCACTTTGGGTCATAATTAACTTGACAGCACCTAACAATAACATAGTGACAGTTTCAGGGATTGAGAGAAGAATATCTATCTTTGGAGGTCCACTGTTTTCTCTGCCATACTTAGAATTTTTCATGTTATTTTTTTAAATAAAAAAGAACTATTTATTTCTTCTCACGTTGTCAATATTACTCATATACCATATGCAAAGTTCTACTCAAAGTCAAGTAGGTGATTTCACTTATTTTATACATTATTTTATAAATCAGAATGCATATATTAACCAGGAGGCATTAAATAATACTTTTGAGTGTGTGTGTGTTTTAATAAACTAAGAAATAGTCTAATTCCTAGACTGTAATGGTAAAGAAAATTATAGTTATTGGAAATTTCCTTAAAGCACTACATTTAATATTGAGAAATGGATCTAGAGGTTATCTTATTTTTATTACATTTTCAATATGAATAGTATTCCTTATTCTCCTTTATCTCACCATAATGAGATTTTTCAAGACCTGGCCTGTAAGCTGTTTCAAGTATTAGTTCTATAAGCAAAGCATGAAAAAGTATGTTATTAATAAAAACAAAAGTTTTAAACCTATTTCAGTAACAATAATTTGAGTTAATGTTTTGCTTAAAGTGCCTAAAGTCAGGCATAGATGCCTTATTACTACAGTATGTCTGCCCACATGCTTCCATTTATTCCTTAGTTAAAATAATTTCATGAGCACAAATTCTGAGACCGAAGATGTTTAGTTCAACTTTCTGTGCCTCAGTTTTCTCATATATTAAATGTAGATAATAATATACATCTCATAAATTGTGGTAAGTGTTAAAAAAGACAATACAGGTACAAAGGAATAGAATAGAGAAAGTGTACCACAAATGCTAATGATAGTAACCATTTTTGTTATTACTACCAATAAAAATGCAATATAGCCTAAAACTGACACCCACTGCCTTGGAGTCAATTTGGACTTACAGAGACAGTCCATCAGGTTTCCAGGGCTGTAAAACTTAATAGGAGGAACCCGCTCGTCTCTCTCATACAGAAGAACTGGTAGATTTGAACTGCTGAAGTCATCCAGCTTTTTGGTTAGCAGTGCAAAATTCTATGAACTATCCCATCAGAATTCCTCTTGACATCAAATTAGACCACTGGTATTTTTTTGAGAGAACAAAGTTAAAAAATAATATTTAAGACCTCAACAATCAAGGTCTTTAGAAATTAAAGCTAGTTTCAAAAGTCACTTTAGTAGAGCTATAATTAATATTTTAAGCAGAGGAGAAAGAGTATAAGTTAAGAATTTCTGAAATATTAGATCAAGTGATCAATGCTAAAGGCTTACCTGATGACACATTCTGAGTTGCAAAGTCCAGATCAATAAAGGATCATAATTTTCCTTTCTCTGTAAACATGTGGAGGAAGCTTTGGAGTCAAATGAGTAAGGAGTTGTCCTGCTGATACAAAGGCAGGTGGTTTGGATTGATCTACTGCTCCTTGGAAGTCAATGAGCAGTCTCCCTCCATGTGATTTACAACCGCTGAAAACCTTCAAGAGGGTCAGTAGTGAATTAACTCCTACTCAAAGCAACGAGTTTTGATAAACATATAGATCAAAGTAAGCTTTCAATGCTTGAAAAAGGGTGATTAAAGTAATAATGAATTGTGTTACATAGTAATGATGAGAATAATGTTCAATAATACTTCAAAGATTAATTCTTGGTTAACATTTTGTTCTATGTATCTTTGACTTAAATGACAATTTTCCTAAATATGTCAATTCAAATTTTTAACTAGCACATAATGTATAACAAATAATTTCTTCCCTAGGTGATGATGAATTGTAACATAATTTTAGTATTATTTGCATTTGTCAAGGTAGTTGAAAATCGTAGAAAATCAAGTAACCAGGGAATTACTTGATTAGTGTCTTAAAACATAATCTTTCTGTAGAATGAAGGATGGATTATAAAGCCACAAGAATTAATTGCCAAAAATTCCAAACCCATTTCAAGAATAACAGGACATTCTAGGCAAGACAATGAAAGCTTTAGATTAGGTTTTGGCAGTGGTAGATTGATAGAAGTTAGGTTCCAGATACATATGTGCAATGCCCACTGGGCCTGGTAGTTTTCTAATAGCTAAAACCTTGGCTTCATTCAGCAATTGAGTGGATGTTGAGGTCCCTATCTGACACAGGAAACACTGGAAGAGGAGCAAATTCACTTGTGTTTTATGGGTTAAATTTTAGACTTTAAGTTCTTTAAAAATAAATATATCTAGATGAGTAGGTATTAAGAAGAGTAGTGTGTGTTGGATTTATTGACATATCTGAGGTAATTGAAACCACAGAAAGTATGATGTAATGTATAAAGAGAGATTAGTTAAGGAAAAGACAAACAAAAACTAAACTTGATAATCTCCCACTTTCAAACACTGAAGGGTCACATTGAAAAGGTAGTAATAGTTTTTGTTAAAAAAACAACCAAAGGACAGAGAGAGTACCATCTAATGGCAATCAAAAATAAGAAAATAAGTGAGAAAGAGAGGTGAGAAAAGAATCAAATGTTGCAGAGAGTTTAAGAGACTAGAAAATACCAGTATAATTTACTGGCAGGCTATTGATGAACTGAATGAAGGTAACATCAAATGGTAGAATGAATGGTAAAAGATACTGTCATTGTTTATTGAATTCTGCATAGAAATAAAAAGAACTAGCCAATAATTTTAAGATTGTTAGCCTTTTGTAAAAATAGAATAATTTATCATCAAAATAAGACTACTAATGTAAGAAAAATAAAATGTGAATATGTTCAATGAATGACTATGAAGTAAACCATTGTTATAGAAAAAATGGTATTTAATGAAAAAAAGTGGAGAGTCTAAGTCAGCTTTTTTTTTTTTAAACTTTGGAGACATTTGGGAAACTTGTAAAAATTGGACTGAAATTACTTCTGAACTGCAGTAGTATTATGAGCCTGTTCTAAGTCAACATTGCTCTTAGATTTTAATGATGTGGATTTTTATAATGCTCAATTAATTACTTGGCTTGGTGAGAAGACATTTCAAGACGATTATATTTATAATCATATTTCTCTCATGCAACCTGTTTTGTTCCTAATTAATCAAAGAACTTATTGTCTGTCCCTTTGTTTTGTTTTTGTTTTCCCCCATTTCTCTTAGGAAAACCCATTTCTTCTTTCAAAACATTATCAAAGAAATATATGTGGAACAGAGTCAACCATATCAATTAAAAACAATAGAAAATGGCACATTGTTTGGAAAAGGATCCATATCACCCTGATTCACCTGAGGAGAATTCTGAGCATCTGGACAATCGCTTTGTAAATCAACCTTGTTCTTCAAGTCACATGAGCCTGGGATTTGATCCAGTGGTAGATGAACTCAGCAAAAAAAGCCTACTCTATCAGAGAAAAGTTAAAGAAAACATTTTGATGCCCAATGCGCCAAATTGGGACTCAAAAGGACATTCATTAGATGAAACATACCAATTATCTTTGAATGAAATTACCTTGGAAAGTCCAGAACTCTCCTGGCAGCACAAGAGGGAAGTACCAATAATTGGTTTCAAGCCTTCTGTGATACCAACACCTCCAAATATCAATAAAGAAAGCCCCCAGGGGAATCCCATAGGAAAATATGATGGAGCTAATGATTACAGGTTCAGTAGTGTAGCTCCATCATTCACTAATTTGGATAAAATTAATTCACAGGGTGAATTGGAGAATGAAAATCGTAACTACTGTATAGGATTTGAAAATAGCATTCTTCCTATATATCCATCCTGTTCAGCTGACCTTATGCCAAAAGGAAAGAATAAAAGGACTGACAGTATGACCATCACAGAACCTTCTCTAGCACTCCCTAAAGACTCTTTTCTACCCAGACTTTGGGAAAGTGCATGGCCAAAGGATACAGAGGTATGTGATATATGTATCAACATAAAAATATGAACATAAAAGAAATATCTAGTAATGCATTATAAGAATGGTATAATGAATAAAAGAATCTTAAATAGAAAAATAAAAAGCATTTTGAATAGCCAATTCCTGTTTACAAATCCATGTACCTGAACTATTGTTTGTTTGTTTTCTACAGTAAGGGAGATAATTTTTTTAAATATGATTTTTTTAGCGTGTTGTTAAATTAAAATAAGATGTTAATTTATGTATATTAGAAAAAATATTATACTTGTAAGTTTACCTGATAGTATTTTTATACTTATTTTAATACGTGAGTGCGCGCATGCACGCGTACCCCCCCCATTTCATTATATTTATTTTTGTCACACTGTCTTAATGTGAAATTGTATTTTAACCAATAGGAAGAATGCCTGACTACCTGGAGGCTTGTATTTATACTGCTATAAAGATCACTGAATAATATTTAAGGTTTTCTTTGCTTCTACTGGTTATAGACTCAAGTGAAAACAGAAGTAATAAGTAAAAAGAAGAAACTTGTTACCAAAGCTGTTATTGCTAAAGTTATGTCATAGGATTCTTAACTTATTTAATGACTATTAATCAACTGGTATACTAAAGCAGAATAGATGTAAAGAGGAAAAAATGAAATAATATCTGATTTCAGAAATAATTGTTCAAACTAAATTGTGAGCAAATAGTGAAAGCACTATAAAATATTAATTTAGGTTAGTGCATTACCAAAGAAATGCCTACTTTTGTCTTATGCATTCATAGAGAAGACAGCTCCTTAACTAATCTAAAGTATAAGTTTTGAAGAGTCGTCAAATGAATCTTGTGAATATCCGCTCCTGATCATGAGTTGTTCTTGTTCGGTGCCTTTGATGGAACGTGACTCCTAGTTACCCTATGAACAATAAGGTCTAAACCTTGTCCAATCCTGATGTCATATTCTCCTTCATAGAATCAATCTTCTTGAATAATTTGTTCAGGAAACAAAATTAATAGGATAATTCTGAGAAAAGATGCAATCCTTATGCCCATTTTTCTTCATTTTAAACTATGTAGTGTCCTGCTCTATTCACACCATAGCCTCTTGCTTTAGGAATAGGTTTCACATGAGCAAAATTTATTCTGAGATTCCCATTTTTCTCAATGTTAGCTGTAATTTATTCTAATCCACGTCGTCAAATGCCTTTGCATAGTTAATAAAACTCAAATAGATATTCTTCTGGTACTCTATACTTTCAGCCAGAATGTATTTGACATCAGTAATGATATCCCTGATGCCACAGCCTCTTATAAATCCTGCTTGAATTCCTGGGAGTTCTACTGTTCTAGCTGTGTTTGAATGATCTTCAGTATTTTGCTTGCATGCAATAGTAATGATATTGCTTGATAATTTCCAACATTCTGTTGGATCTCCTTTCTTGGGAATGGAAACAAATATGGATCTATTCCCATCAGTTGTCCTCCAACTTTGCTGGTATAGATTGATTAGCACATACAGGGCTGTATCTGTCACTTGAAACATGTCAATTAGTATCCTATTGTTTGTGGGGCCTTATTTTTTTGCAAATGCCTTCAGTGCAGCTTGAACATTTGCATTCATCACTGTTGGCTTTTGTTCATGTGTTGCTTCCTTAAATATTTCAGTGACAACTAATTTTGGCAGAGATTCTTCGTATTCCCTCTGTCTTCTTTTCATGTTCCCTGGGTCATATGATGCTTGTCCTACCATTGTGAAAAGCTAAGATCCCCACCTCACTCCATATACAAAAACCAACTCAAGGAGGATCGTGGACCTAGGACTAAAACCAAGGACTATAAACTTCATTCAAGAAAAGCTTGGAAGAACTTTAGTAGTCCTAATCCACAAGATAAAGAGTCTTCCAAGTATTCTGAAAAATTTACAAGATAAAATAAAAGAGAAGATAAAATAGTTGAATGGGACCTTCTAATAATCAAATCCCAATGAGCATCCAGAAACTTCTCTAACAGGGTAAAAAGGGAAGCCACAGACTGGGAAAAAGTGTTTGCTAATGACATGTCAGGTAAGGGACTTATATCTAAAATTTATAAAATACTTGAGCACCACAACAAGATAAAGGCACATAATCCAATTGAAAAATGTGCACAGGATATGAATAGACACTTCACCAAGGAAGACATTCAGATGGCCAACAAGCACATGAAGAAATGTTCAAAATCCTTAGCTCTGAGAGAGATGCAAATCAAGACAACCATGAGATATCATCTCACCCCAATAAGACTAGCAAAATTTAACAGAACAGCAAGCAACAAATGCTGGCGAGGTTGTGGAAGACTGGAACCCTTATTCATTGTTGGTGGGAGTGTAAAATGGTGCAACCACTGTGGAAAGCGATGTGGCGCTTTCTCAAAAAGTTGCAAATAGAGATACCATTTGACCCAGCAATTCCACTACTGGGAATATACCCTAAAGAGACCATAAATGGCATCCAAGTAGATACATGTATACCCATGTTTATTGCGGCTTTGTTTATAATAGCAAGGAGTTGGAAACAACCTAAATGCCCATCAACAAACGAATGGGTAGAGAAGCTGTGGTATATTCGCACAATGGAATATTATGCTGCATTGAAAAACAAGGAACTCATGCAATATTATTCAAAATGGGTCACCCTGGATGACATTATACTGAGTGAGCTATCTCAGTCACAAAGGGACAAATGCTATATGGTGCCACTGCTGTAGAATGAGGCTGACATCAGGGTGGGGATAAGACTGAGAAAAACTGGATGAAATATGTTTACGGCATTGAAGTCTATGGGGGAGAGAATAGCTTAAAAGTATTGTATTTTAGGGCATTATGTTTATCATAAGAGTATGGAATGAGGGTTGCAGAGTGGATTATATTTGGGGGTAGGGGTGGGGTTTGGGGAGCGGGGGGGGGATTGTGTACCAATGAGGGAGTTTTTCTTTTGCTTCTCAAAGAGAGGAGCAAACAGGGGGTTGGGCGGGGAGGTGGGGTGGGCGGGTAGAAGGGTGCAACAATGAATGAATGGAATTCCAAAATCTCTGTAGATGTTCATTGAAATGAAAAATAAATAAAAAGAACTCTTGCCAAAAAAAAAAAAAAACCTAAAAAATAAAAAAGTGGATAAAAACAAATGAAGGGAGTAACTGATTTCAGAATTTATAGGTCCTTGAATTTATAAAGAAGGAAAACACAAATCTGACTTTGTAATTATCCTGCTTTCCTGCCTGCAGGCACTCTTTGGCCATTATGTTAGGTGATGAGTCAAACAATGATATTGTTAAGTAGTGGCTGAGGAGACAGAATTTGGGATTCAAAAAAACTGGTTTTTAGCTTGCAAGGTACTGGAGAAGAGGGATCTGAAAAGTGAATTGGGAGAAAAATCCACATAAAAATTTACTGCCAGCTTTTGACCAAATATTGGAATACGTTTACAAGATGTAAAAAGACAAAAAGATAATGGCTTCTTTAGACAGAGCACTGAATTCATGTTAGTCATATACAGATAGAACTTGTGTAGATCAGAACTGTCAGCTCAAACAGAGAGGAGACATATTTTTGAGAGTTTCAAGCTTTCGGTTGGGATCCCGAAGGCTATCTCTTAAACTTATTCCCTAAAGTTAAGTATTACAACCATAAAAATAGATCTGGCTTAAAAAATATTGAAGTTTGCAAAGTCAAAATAATCTTAATGGCCTGCCAGAAAAACAGTACAGTTTGTAGAGAAGATAACATAATCCATCATGTACCATCTACAATACTCAGCGTATTGATACAGAATATGAACATATGTGAAGAAGAAAGCATTCCCTTTCATAATAAAAACCAAACAAAACAACCCCCCCAAAAAAAGCAACCAACCCCAAGCATCTAAAAGAATCCAGATGTGGGAAAGAACATAAAATGAATTATTTTCCATAAGGACATCGTTCTTCAGCACTTTAGAGTGGTCCATGACATCAGCTTTCTCCAGAGCAAATTATCTTTTGATTTTTTGACTACTGATACCAAGAGTGTAGATGGTGTAGCCAAGCAAGCAGAAATTGTTAACAACATCTGCTCTTATACAGCATCTATTATGGCTGTCAATTGGCTCACTGACTGGTGAGAATCTTTTTTTTTCTTCATGCTGAACTTTAATTTATATTGAAGACTACAGTTCTTGACCTTCTACAATAAATGCTTCAAGTCCTCCTCAATTTCTACGAATAAGGTTGTGTAGGTTTCTGATGAGTCTTCTTGCAATCCTGATGTCACATTCTTTCTCATAAAGTCCAGCCTTTCAAATTATCTGTTCCACATATAGATTAATAAGGCATGGAGTAGGATGCATCCCTGACACTTTCCTTTCCTGATTTTGAAACATGCAGTTTCCTTGCTCTGTTCTGATGACTGTTTCCTGGTCCAAGTTCCACATGAGCACAACCAGTTGTTCTGGGATTCCCATTCTTCTCAAAGTTAGCCACATTTTGTTTGATCCACACAGTGAAATGCCTTTGCATTATTAAAGAAACAGAGATGGATATTCCTTTAGTACTGTTTGATTTCATCCATGATCCATCTGACATTATTGATAGTATCTCTGCTATCACAGCCTTTTCTAAGCCCAGCCTGTATTTCTGATGGTTCTCTGTCAATATACTTTACCAGTTTTTTGTTTGTTTGTTTGTTTTTAATAATGCTCAGCAGGACTTTGCTTGAGTGTGATATCAGTGATATTGTTTGATAATTTCCTTATTTTTCCAAGTCACCCTTTTTTGAAATGGGAACAAATAAGGATCTCTTACACTAAATTGGCCAAGCAGTCTGCCTCCAGATCGGCTGGCACAAATTTTGGAGTATGTCCATTTCTGTCTGTTGAAATCTGTCAAATGGTGTTCTATCAACTCCTGGGGCCTTCCTTGTTTTTGCCAATTCCTTCAGAGCAGCTTGACATTTTTCCTTTGTCACAGTAGGCTCTTCTTGGTCATACGTTGTTTCATTAAATTCTTCCATGTCGGTCAATTCCTTTTGGTACAGTGTCTTTGTGTACTCCTTTCATTTTCTTTTTGCCACTTGAGGTTTGAGTTTGTTCTTCAGTTCCTTCAGCTTAAGAAATGCCAAGCATGTCTGACCCTTTTGCTTTTCTGACTCCCCAGCTCTTTGCACATTTCATTTTAATAGTTTGCTTTGTTATAGGTTCAATAAGAGGCCCTGTTGCTATTGTTGTTAGATACTGTCAAGTCATGATTGACTCATAGCGACCATATGAACAACAGATCTAGACCCTGTCCTATTCTGTGCCCTCCTTATTATCTGATATACTTGAACCCATTGCTTACAGTCACTTTGTAAATCGATCTGATTGATGGTCTAATTCTGGAAAATATTAATAATAGTAGAAACTGTGTAAGAAGATAAAGGTGTATATGGTAACTATACTTTTGTGCAATTTTTCTTTAACTGTAAAACTATTCTAGAAAGTAAGTATATTAAAATACATACATAATTAAGTTTAAAAAAAGCCAAAAATGCAAGATCACATTATCCTAATCTCTATGGTGATAGAAATCTGCATACAAGTGGTTGTCAAAGTGGTATAGGATTGACAAATAGGAAATTTACAAATTAATGCTATGTGAACTGTTGTTGTTGTTGTTAAGAGTCATAGATGACCCATAGTGACCCTATGAATGAATGTATTGACCATAAAACTTAAATCTTTTCTGCAAGTTTTTAGAGATTCCGGAGGCAAGCTTTTTTTTTTTTTGGAAGTGAATGCCTCTCCTACTTCCAGTACTGTTTTATTCAGGAGATCCATAAAAAACAGGCTAGAGGGCCACAGGCCCAGAGTCCAAAAGCCTTTTTAAATACAAGGTCAAATCCAATCAGCTCATACCCTATTGCGAACAATAGCTAAACACTAGTCTCAAACCTAAACCAGAAACCTAAAACCTTTGCAGAATCTGGCCATTCCACTCATAATTAAAATAGTAATTTGTTTTATAGAAGTAAAATAGAAATGCATCGTTAAAGCACAATAAAGCTACAGAAATTTAAGTTCTGCAGTTATGAATTATATACTTACCCTTCTTGAAACAATGTTGATTAGAGAGTATAACTTGATGTATGTTTGTTTTTTTAAGGCAATAGGTTGTTCCATTCAGCTTCTTGAAGTACCTCAAGGTAGTGATATAAATCTGGCCTCCTTTTGTGATAAAGTAAAAAAGTGAGTATTACTATTTCATTAAATATTTAAATGTCTATGTCGGAATAGGTATGGCTATTTTTCTTGTTTAAATTAGTATATTTTAGCAATTATATTTCAAATTCTGTAAATTTTGAACACATTCAAAAGTAAATTTTTTACAAATTAGTTTATTACCTAAGTATGTCTATTCATGTTTACATTTTATATAGCATTCATGCTAAACATTTTTTTTCTGATACTTTGGTTAATATGAATAATCTGTAAATTCAGACTTGCCTTTTCTGGTTATAAGCAATTTTGTTTACAGTAAATTTATTTTTCATTCAATAACATCTGTGGCTATTCTTACTCAACCTCAAAGTAGTACAATTTTGACCTTGCTATCAGGAATAAAACATGCCAAAGTAAAAAGAACTGAATGGAAATCTTCAAAATGCATCTCAGGAGGATAAAGCAAAGTATTATAATAAATGTGAAGAGAGGAAGGGAAAATCTCATTCTGTATTTTCAAGCTGAAAGAACTGAAAATCAAATGTAAGCCTTAAGATACATTATTAAAAGATGTGATGGGCAATATACTGAATGATCCTAGAAGTATCAAAAGAAAATGGAGGAATTATATAGAATCATTGAACCAGAAAGAGCTGATTGACACCAAAAAATGTAAGGAAGTACGGTATGAACAGGAGTCAATGGAATGGAGGATATAGAAGATGCACAGAAAGTTTTGGCAAAAATAAAGCCCCTGGAATTGATGGGATACCAACTGTCTTGTTTCAATTATCAGATGCAGCTTTAGATGCTCTCACCAATCTATTCTAAGAAACTTGGAGGACAGCTGTCTCGCCAATGAATTGGAAGGAGTCCATTTTTGTTCCTATTCTCAAGAAAGGTGATCCAATTGAATATGGAACTATCAAACATTATCATTGATAACACACACAAACAAAATACTGCGTAAGATCATTCAAAAATGGCTGGATTGGGGTAAAGAAAAAAGTGTAACAATGAATGAATGAAAATCCAAAATCTCTGTAAATGTTCATTAAAATTAATAAAATAATTTTATTTAATGGCTGAAACAGTACATAAATAAGGAATTGTCAGAAGTTCAAGCAGGATTTAGGAGATGACATGGCACCAGGCACATCACTGCTGATGTAAGATGGACCCTGGCTAAAAGTAGGGACTACCAGAATAAAATGTCTCGTTGTGCTTTATTAACTATGCAACAGCATTTGACTGTGTGGATCATAACAAGTTGAGGCTGACATTGAGAAAATGAGAATTCCAGAGCACTGAATTGTTCTCATGCCAAACCTATACCTGGACTATTAGGCTGTTGTGCAAACAGAAAAAGGGAATGCTACATGGTTTAAAATTAAGAAGGGAGAATATCAGGTTTATATTCTCTCTCCAATACCTATTTAATCTGTATACCAAGCAAATTATTTGAGAAGCTGGAATCTATGAAGAGGAATGTCAGGATGGAGAGAGACTTATCAATAATCTGTTATGCAGATGACACAAATATGCTTGCTGAAAGTGAGGAGGACTGAAGCACTTGTTGCAAAGATGAAGGAATGTCAAAGATTCTTACCACTGGTCAAACAGGAAATATAATGACGAATAGAGAGGAGAATGAAACTGTCAACAACTTCATCTTGCTTGGATCCTCAATTAACACCCTTGTATTAGCAGTCAGGAAATAACTAGATGCATTGCACTAGAAAAATCGACAGTTAGGGACCTCTCCAAATTATTGAGAAGTAATAATTGTCAGTTTGAGGACAAGGATGTGTCTGATTTAGACCGTAGACTTTCTGATCACTTGTTACGCATCTGAACGCTGGACAATGAATACAAATGACAGAAGAATTGATTCCTTTGAGCTTTGGTGTTGGAAAAGAGCACTGAACATCCCATGGATGGTGAAAAGAACAAAGAAAGAGTGTTCTTTGGAAGCAAGAATGATGAAGCTTCACTTCACATGCTTTGGGTATGTTGCTTAGAGGGGCTATTCCGTGGAGTAGGACATGACACTGGGAAGGACGGAGGGTGAGCAGAGAGGAAGACCCTCAACCATGTGGACTGATATGATGACTGCTGAAATGGGTCCTTGTGTATCAGAAACTAAGGATAGTGCAGGATCGAACAGGGTTCAGATCTTTTGATCATAGGGTCACTATGCGTCATACTCAAGTCAATGGCACCTAACAACAACAAGCACATTATTAACTTGTTTTTTATATTCATTAAGGAGGTTTTCTAACTTGTTCTATTTGATTTCTTGGACATACCTTTAAGCATCATCTTTTAGGAAATATATCATATTTCGTATAAAATATTAAAAGTGCTACAGACTATGAAAAAAAAATCCCTGGACTTTAGTAGATACAGGTAACAATTCTCAGGGAAAATGAATCATGAATTCACACTGCAAATATAATTCCATAAAGTAGTTACCTGAAGTTAGCTAAACTGTTCTCTGAAAGCACATATTAGAGACTGCCAGATTTGCTCAAGGATTTTGACAATAATTATGAGCAATTAGAGTCCAACTGTGAATTAATACAAGACCAGTCTCACTTTTAACAACTCAAAGGTCTATGTGTTTCCCAAACAATCCTCTAATTCAATATTTCAATAATTATCTATGATTCATATAACTCAAAAAAAGCTAGTGTAATCACACTTGTTGATGTTACATACCATTGAGTCAAGCACGACTCATAACAACCCTATGAACAAAAGACCTGAAGCCTTTCTGTAACTATCGTTGTTTCTCAAAATTCATAGGGTTTCCAGAGGCATGTTGTATAAGAAGTGGATGCCACTCCTGCTTCCAGTCAGTTATGGTTAAATATAGGGAACAACTCATCACAGTCAAGATGGAATCAAGTCACAGCAGACCCTCTGGCGGATTTTCAAAGGCGATAGTTGCATGGGCAGAGATTACCCAATCCCTGAGCTGCAATAAAACTCTTTATCAACTGTTGTTGTTGTTGTTGTTATGTGCCATCGAGTCGCCTGCGACTCATAGCGACCCTGTGTACAACAGTCCTAAACTCCGCTCTGTCCTGTGCCAATCGCACTGTCTCTGACACTCCCATCCCAATTATCCCAGTCACTGAATCAATCCACCCCATAGAGGGCCTTCCTCTCCTGCGGTGTCCCTCCACCCTCCCAAGCATGATGTCCTTCTTCAAGGACCGGTCTCTCCTCACAACATGTCCAAAGTAGTTA